TCAGCTTTCGCTGTGGGTTGGCCTTGAATGATGCAAACTGTGTTATTTAGAAATCGGCATATTTCCGTTCATAGTTCTTTTATCAGGTCCAATTTCAAGATGTTATAGTCAGTTCTAGGTTAGAGACAGTAATTTCTTATCTTCTTTGTGTCCTGATCCTTACTTTCATTCTGGCTTGTTGTGTAATATGAAACTCCTTCTCCACAAACAAGAACTATTTCCATAATGTTGACAGAGGTTGGTGGAGCATAATGTGGACTTCCTGGTTGTTATAAACCTGGAATTTTATCTCTCAGTTAGTAAGATCAATCTTGTTCCACCATTTGTGATGTTTAAATTCACTGTGCTCCTCTCTGTCTCATAATACTAGTGTTGTGAATGGCAGGTTCATTCTTGGTGCTATGTGGATATTTATCATGAGTTTCCTTATCACATCAGTGTAAGAAGACAAGCTCTTACCCAGAATTTTCCTTTTTTTACTTCAAATTGTGTTCTGGGTATAATTTGAGTCAAATTATTTCTTCAACTCTCTCTACATTTGTTGAATAATGAACATCTTTCTTGTATAACTAAGTATAGTATTTGTTCAATGCGCCAATTAATAATACAACCATTGTAATCGTTTTATTGTTTATCTATGAATTTTTAGTTGCATTAAAATGTTAATTCACCTTTTGCATAATCATTTGCATTTTGAGTAAATATATATGTATGTATGATGAAACTGACATCAGCTTCCAGAGCAGTGATATACACATACTATTAATGGAGCAGAAGAGTATATAAATTTATGAGATTGTATTCGTGTGACCTACTCTGTGAATAAATACCCTGCCAGAAGCTTCAGTAATAAAGAGAGAGTCATGAGATAGTTATTGAAGGGTATAGCTATTGCTGTTTGTCTCTCGATATTGTTATTCATGTTGAAAGGTATTGTTTGAATATTGTAGTTGCAATATTTGTTTGGAATTATGTTTTCCTTTCTGTTTCTTCCTCCTGAGTTCATTATTATTGATTTTTTAATATTTATGATAAATTGTTTATTAATATTGGTGGGTAGTCCTGCCCAGGCATTTTTTTTTATTAACTGTGTTTTGCTAAGTGTTGCTGTTGAACTCTGATTGTAGCAGTGGGTGTTCATTTAAGACCATTACAATCGACCATTCATCTCTCAATCACTACATGGTCGTCCCTCATTTTCTCTCTGCTGGTCCTTTTCACCTGGATTGTGGATGACCAAGGTAGATATCTCAGATGCATTCCTTCATATTCTTGTCACAGAGTTTTAAAAATTTTTCTTTCAATTCGTTCATCAGGATCATATCTTTCAGATCTTCTGTTTGGCATTGTGCTGGCCTCTTACATCTTCAACAGAGTAGTCAGGGCCTTTGCTTACCAGTTATGCAGACTTAGTCTATGATTACATTACTACATGGATGATTGGCTTCTTATGTCTCACTTGCAGGAGGAGTCTTACTTTTACACCTCTCTTCTTCTGTGGGAAGCTGCCCATTTAGGGTTGCTTGTCAAAACTTTTAAATCCTTTCTTAAGTATTTTTCAGTTCTTTTCTCAGCCAGGCTCAACTTTCTCTCTGTCTGGAAGTGCTGGTGCATTCTGTTTTGGAGGACAATGGCTTTTCTGGAACTGCTTATTCCATAAATGGTCTTTCACTGGTCCTTTTGTGACCAGTGGAACCATTCACAGACATTTGCACTTTGTGGTTCTCCTTCTCGTCCTCTGCTCATGGACCTTTCTTGGTGGCTGAACCACTCCAATACTACTGTTGGTGTGCCTCTACCTCCATCCAGACCCAAGTTATACCTCTTCACTAACACTTTCCTCTCTGGATGGGGTGCATCTCTGATTGAAAACTTACATTAGACACTAGGACCCAAGATGAGTCTTCACTTTACATCAATGTGCTCAAACTTTTGGTGGTGCATTGGGCATGTTCCCATTTCTTACTCATCCTGGTGGACCATTTGGTAATGGTTCACTCCACAACTCCACTGTTGTTTCCTACATCAACCATCAGGGAGGCATCAGCTCCAGGACCCTTTTTCTTCAAACTCTCAACCTTCTTTATTGGGCCAATTATCAATGGATCTCTGGACACTATGAACCTCACTGAGAACTGGCTCTCTTGGCTGGAACATATTCTGCCCACAGAGTGGTCTCTTCACCCTTAGGTTTTCCAATGGGTGTGCTCTCTTTCCTGGAGACTCTACTCATTGATGCCATTGCCACACCCCTCTATTCCTAGCTTCCCCTCATTTGGTCTCCTGTCCCTATTCTTCAGCTTTGGCTATCAATGCTTTCAATCAAGACTGGTCTCATCTTTCACTGTGTGCTTATCAACCTGTGTAACTTCTACCATGGGTTCAGGCATTGATTCCCAACACTCCTTGTCATGTTCTTTTGGTGACACCTCTTTGGAAGGTACCTTCTTCTTTACCTTCTGTTTACTCACCCCCTACCTTCCACACCCTCTGTCTTGCTCCAACCTCACACTTCATTATTCCATCCATGTATCACATTCTTCCACCTTCATATTTAGGATTTGTCCAGTCCATTGCCCATTGGTAGAGTTGAAAATAACATGCACTAATTATTCCTATACTTTTCTCAGTCCAATACATCTCATGTTAGAGTTAAGGTGAACATTTGGTATGTTCTGAATGCGCTCCAACCATGCTACACATATTGGCTCTCCGACCTCTTGTGTGCAAGTCTTCTGATAGCCATGCTCTTATTCTGTTCATACCCATGACACATGGGGCTTGTTTGCCTCTTCCTTCCAATCTGGACAAAGAGTGTACCCTGAAAGAGATGAGGTGCAGTCTCCCACAGGCATGCCCCTATGGAACCCCTGCCATTGGGTGTCACACTCTATGGGCTTCCTTTGGGCACTTTCTGAAGGGAGCTCATCTAGGTAACTTTTGCCCTGGTCCCTCCACCATATCATTGTGGGGTTCTAGCATTCTGAGTTAGAGTTGTGTATCACCTCAGAAGTTAACATTTTCTTTATCTTAAAATGTATTTCTGATAGATACTCACCCCTCACACTTCCCACCCTTCCTCCCAATTTGTCTTGTCAAAGAATGAAGATCACGAGTGCAAAAGCATAGATGGATTTAGTGTGTGAGGTTGTATCACTCTCCTATTGGTGGATGGCTTTTGCTGCATAATAATGTCATTTTGCAGTAGTACAAGTCACAAGGAATCTCGTAAGTTTAGGTGGGACTTGCCTAAAGGCTAGTGGCATACAAATCTCTAAAGCAGATGCATGAGGAAGAAAGCTTAATTGTATGATAGGTGAGTATGTATTCGAAATACATTTTCAGGTGAGGAAAATTTTAACTTTAAATACATTTATTCATTTATTTTAGTTCAATAAGTTTTCGTCATTAAGTCTTTCAGCAAAGCAATAATGCTTTTCACTACTGCGATCAGTCCTATAATAGTTTTCTGTAAATAGTGTATTTTGTGTTGAACTTCAGAATATGTTTTGCCTAAATCATCCCAACCATGACAACCTGCTACATATGTCCTTGTGAATAGTACATCTGCTAACATTTTATCACTGAAAGAATACAGTAACTGTAGTTTTAGTTCATCACAAGCCTTAGAATGCTACACTTAAGTAACAAAAGAAAGAGAGTGAATTGTGTGTAATTTGCTCGTGTATTTTCAGAATAAGGAAACAGGTTTCCTTGGTTATACCAAGAGGTCCTTGAAGGTCTCATTATAACTTTAATACTCACCATTCATTAATAGTTGCTGTAATGCCATACTAACAGACAGTCTCTGTTTTATACTTGTCAGTTTTTATAATAAAAGTAAATATAAGGACTACAATTTCTTTTAATACTTGTTTGCCATGAATATTCTTTTTATTTAAAAGATAAAATATACTTAATCATAGTATTAGTCTTTTAAAATTATTTTTTGTATATGTAATGTAGTATTTTTATTTTGAAATATAGGATGGTGTTCTTGTGGAGAATATGCATGATGTACCTTATGTAACAGCAAAAAATTGTGGGCCTGAAGTGACTGCAGTAATGACCCGTGTTTGTTCTGAGGTTCGTCAGACAGTTCCTTTACTACCTTGTGGTGTTCAAGTTCTTGCTGGCAATAACGAAAGTGCTTTGGCAGTTGCACTATCATCAGGTCAGTTGAAAGATGTATATATTGAGATGATGCCTCACCTCTACATGCAGAATAACTTGATTTCTTTGTACATCTGCCCATGAGGTTTGCATGCTATTAGCCTTGAGCTATGTCCCACTGAAAAAAAACTAGTTTAACAGGAACTGCACTAGTGCATGATGTCATCATCATGCAACCATAGCCCTCCACCAATAGAAAAGTGATACAACCTCTTTGCACAGTAGCTACCCCATAAGCGCTTGCACTCAAATTAACTTCATGCTCTTTCTCAATATTGTCTAGAATGGACATGTTCCAAAATTGTTAATCAATTACTTGAGATTTGCAAGAGTTTATGACTGTTAATTTTTGTTCAAGTTTTTCTGGTTTAGAGTTTGTGTTTCACATTAAGTAGTTTCTTTAATTTACCTCAGGGAAAATATAATTGGTGATTACCTGCCATTATGACTTCTCAAGTGATGGTAACTTTCTCTTTGTCTTGTGATAGTGATGATATTTCTAACTAATGCGTCTACTGATCCATCATGGCTACTGGAGACTCATTGTTTGTAAAGGATGATCAGCCATTGTTCAACATGTTGTGGATTTCTTCATGTGCACTGGGCTTCCTCCTTCTGTCCATTTGACTGTTTTTCTTGGAATGTCTGTCAGTTGATGATTTTCCCATTGATGGTGTTGTGAAGGTCCAGCAGTTGGTGCTGTCTCTCTGGACTTGGATACTGTGGGTACTTAAGAGATATTTTTTGAAATATCTAAATGCTACTGTATAATCCAAATTTTGATATTCATAATTTAGGATGATAATTAACTTTCATATTTGAATAATTAAAATTTAGACAAATGAGAAACAAATGATGCATTTCCCTATTAAGTTGGGATATGTTGCAACATTGTTGCAGTGTGTTCCTATACAACTGTCATATGTAACCACAATTTTTTCAATCACATTAGCTTTTCACATTAATGTTAGCCATGTGCATGTACATACAAGTCTGAAAGAAAGTGAATTGACATTTTTGACACTGAAATAAAGAATATCAAGTCACAAAAATTACTTACATTTGTAAAAACACATTTGTCCTTGTAAAACTAAAACCATTAAATGAAGCCAACGGCCTTGTTGTTTGTGCCATGCATCATCAAGTATAACAATGCTAATCACATGGGTTTCTTATTTCAATACTGCAATTCCAATATGGTACTTATCTCCTTTAACAACATTAGCTATTCTCGTTCAGTGCTGCCCTCTATATGCGAACTTTTCTTTATGCATGCCACAAGTCTTGTGCTCCCAACATGTCTCTCATGCAAATCATCATGTGTCATCTCTTAACCAATAGTAGCATGACATGTAACGTGACAGATGTGACTCCCTCTACACTCCTCTACTGAAGGTTCACTTCTCGTTTGGCAGCATTTGAGTTCAAACGCCTTCTTCCAGTGCTTCCAGTGTGACAAACAATTTATTTTTTGCAAGAGGTGGTTCTTTTTTGAGTTTATTTTTATTTTATTTTATACCAGTCTATGTTTCTGCACTTGACAATTTGGAAACATTTTCTTGAGTTACCACTTCAGAAGTCACACCAATGACCAGTGTTTTTTTCTCAAGCATCAGGTATTGCTTGACCCGATGGTGGATCTCTCTACTTTTATATGTCAGGAGATTGAATGCTACATGGCTCAACCTTTGTCCCCTGACATTGCCCAGGCTCCTCTTAAGTCAGCTGAAATTGTTCAGAATGAACAGGGTTTTGATCGTCCTTTCCTGCCTCCAGAGTTTGCCATTCCTTCCCAATTGCAGCCTGAGGAATAACCTAGGCCAAATTTGGTCTTCACAGATTTTGTGTCTCAGGTTTGTTATGTTTTATCCCTTTCCCCCATCTCTTATTCACCTCGTCCTTCCTTGTTACATAAGACATCTTCTCAACCATTTTTGGTATTTCCTCCCTCCTCAGATATTCGGGTACATGTGGATAAATTTGTCTCACAATTAAGTGAGGGGATCAGCATGCCACGCTCCCTGAGTATTTCTGATCAGTACACCCTTTCTTACCATTTTGCAGACTATCTGTTTTTGGATCAGCATTTGTTGGGTTCATTGTTACCTATTTAGGGGGCAGCTCCCGAATGTAATGTTAGTCTTACCCATGCCCAATATTCTTGCCTTTGTCTTACCCTAACTAACCTTCTACAGTATCTTTCTTCCATACATCTCCTATTGGAGGCTCTCCACAGAAATGCTGAGGGGTTTTCTGTGGATAACCTTCACCTTCTCTCCTCCACATTAGCCCGCGCTTCATTATCTGGCATTACATACGTAGTTTCTATGTTGTTGCGACCTTATAGGTAGTGCTGCAGTATTGGCTCGGGTCATTTACCCTCAACATATCTCAGGGACTTACGCCTTGCACCTTTTCTGAGTTGTAATGTCTTTGATACAGTCCCAGAAACCACTGAGCCTCGGGTGACATCATCCTGCCAGCAATCCACTCTTATGACCTTTGTAGCCCGTTTGTCTAGGTCAGAGCCTCATATGCCACCTATTCCCATTTCCCGTTCTTCATCCTCTCAAACCTTACCCATTCCTTCTACTCCAGGTACTTCTTTTCTACAATTTCCTTGATGATGTAACAACTGTCGCCACACCAGTACCGGTGAATACCCTGTGGATTCAGGTCCGGTGGGAGCTCGATTATTGGAGTTTCTTCCTTGCTGGCATCCTTTCATTGACAATCAATGGGTGATACGGGTTCTGTCAGAGGGATTGGTTATCCAGTTTCTTTCCCCACCTCCTGTTTCTCCCTGCTACATTTATTTTCCTCCTCCTCGAGATCTTGTGGCCTGCTAGCATCTGTCAGAGGTAGTTCAAGATTTGCTTTTGCAGCAGGCAATGAAACCTGTCTATCATCTTTCTGGGGGTTTTAATTCCCGTGTTTTTATTGTCTCCAAGAAAACCGGGGATTGGTGACCAATGATCGATTTATCTCACCACAACTGCTTCCTCACACTCACAAAGTTCATCATGGTGTCTTTTCTCACCCTGAGATGGGTGTGTTCCCCAGGATTGTGGATGACGAAAATGGATGTCTCCAATGCTTACCTCCACATCCATCTCGACCTTATCTTCAGTTTGTCCATCTCGGGGTAGTTTACCACTTTTGGACCCTTCCATTTGGACTTACCTCAGCTCCTTATTTGTTTTGTCGCATAGTATTGGCATTTGCTCATCATTTTCATGCTCTGGGGATACGATTTCATTATTATATGGATGACTGGCTCCTGGCTCATTTCGAGCAGGAATCAGCCACTCATACTCACCAATTCCTTTCTGTGGTGGCTTGGGTGGGCTGGTTGATCAAATTGGAGAAGTTATTCCTTCGACCCACTCAGTATCTCATCCATTTGGGGGTCTTTTTTAACACCAATATCAGTCACACTTTGCCTTCTCCTTTACATCTTCATTCCATGAAACTTTCAGTTCACCATGCTCTCTTGGCTCAGTCATTTACTGCTCGCAAGGTTCTATTGCTTTTGGGGATGTAGTCCTCCATGACTGCACTGGTCTCTCTCAGTCATGCCCATATGAGATCCCTGCAGTGAGTGCTGGGTGCTTCACGAATGATGGAACCTTGCTCAGGATTCTCTTTCCACCACCATTTCCTTTCCTTGTTCCCAGCGAGATGATCTGCAATGGCGGATGGACAAAGCCCATACTTTTGTGGGCATGCCACTTCCTCCTCTGCATCTGGATTTACATATTTTCAGATGCATCCCTTCAAGGATGAGGGGCATGGGTCAATCTCCAGGAAGCTTTGGACTGTGGATGAAACCATCTTGCACATCAATGTTCTCGAACTTCTAGTGATACGTCGGGCATTACATCACTTCCTTCTTCTAACCCATCAGTGTCTGGTGATGGTTCATTTGGACAACTCTATGGTGGTGGCACATATCAACCACCAAGACAGCACCCAGAGATCTGTGTTTTCAGATGTTGGATCTATTATACTGGGCCCATGCACATCACATTCATCTTATCATATGTTATGTGTCAGGTGCTTTTAATCTAGTTGGGTATAATCTTTTTTGCCCAGACAAGATTTCTCCAATGGATTGGACATTAGATCCTCTCGTTTTTAGGGACCTTTGCCATTGATGGGGTTCTCTCCAATTGGATTCGTTTACCATATGCCTTAATACCAAGTTGCCCCCTTTTGGTCACCTGTATCACTTCCACAGGCTTTGGCAGTTGATGCCTTCAGCCAGGATTGGTCACACAAATACCTTTATGTGCACTCTCCAATCTGATTGCTTCATCAGGTGATTTCTCTTGTCCACTCTACACCTTGTCGAGTCCTCCTGATTGCATTCTATTGGCCAGTGCAATCATGGTTTCCAAGGTTACACTGTTGGCTCCTATCACCACCTGTCCCTCTTGCACTTGCTCCCTTCCTTCTTCATCAACCTCGATCCCATATTCTACATCCCAATCTTCCCATCTTGTGTCTTCATGCCTGGCTTTTGTCTGGTCCTTGGCAAGATGATCCAGTTTCACACATCGAGTCGCCTCCTTGTTAACTAATCCCTTATGGCCATATTACTGGAAGTATACCAGCATAAGTGGAAAGTCTTCTGCTGTTGGTCTGATAAAAGGGATTTCCCGCTGACAAGTTTTCTGTGGCTCGTGTAACAGAATTTCTTACATGGCTCCTCGACTGTGGGTCTTCAATCTCCTTGCTTTCTGGATATCGGGCAACCCTATCCCATACCTTCCACTTTTCTCGATACCATAGGGTTTCGCATTTCTCCTGTTCTTACCGTGCTCATGCATTCCTTCCAAATTTGGAGGTCTCCAAGGTGTCCTGCCCTTCTGGATTGGAACATTAATGTGGTCTTTCATGTCCTCACTTTACCTCTGTTTGAACCACTTTCCTCATGCTCCTTGTTTCATCTGCCCCTTAAAACATATTTCCTTCTTCTCTTGGCTTGTGGACAATGACAGTCAGATTTGTTTGCCAGTGGCATTTTACATACTCTTTATCACCCTGCCTATCTTCTTTGTCTCGATAATTTCTTTCTCCCTAAGACCTCAGCAGCTCAGGTAGGTTGAAAATCCTTTTCTCCTATTTCTCTTCCATCTATATTTCATCTTTATCCTAGACTGGATCTGGATAGACATCCATGTCCAGTCAAGGCCCTTTGTTGTTTCATTGCATGTACTGCTACTTTTCGTGGTATGCGCAACTAACTTTTTATCACCTGGCAATCCTTCTCACTTCATGATCTTTCACCTTCTACTCTTATGAATTTGGTCTGCCTTTTGGTTTGTTTGATCACCTTCACAGATGATGTGGCCTCCTGCTAATATTTACACAACTACTTGAATTGAGCCATCACCTTTTGGTTGACGTGGTATCCTGATACCTATTACACAACCAAGGGAGTTGAGCCATCACCTTCCTGGTTGACGTGGCCTCATGATACTATTTACATAACCAAGAGAGTTGAGTCATCACCTTATGGGATGATGTGGCCTCCTGCTTCTTTTTACACAAACACTGGAGTTGAGCCGTAACCTTACTGGATGATGTAGCCTCCCGATACACTTTACATAATCACTGGAGTTGAGCCATCGCAATTGCAGTTCACCCCTTAGATTGGGAGACCTCATCCTACCTTTGTGTGGAAGTTGGTTCCCAGCATTGAGGTTAGAATGAACCAATCAACATTAGTCCTCACATGAGTACAGATTGTCTATCTTCCTCCCCTAATTGCGTGGTCTATGTCTTTGGTCACAGTGGTAGTATGTGGGATTATTCTGGTGCTATCCTTGACTATCCCTATCCCTCATTCTCTTCTTACAGGTATATTATTGCCTTTGGATGGTGCCAGCATGTGCCATGGTTGGAGGAGTTGATTCCATGCTATAGACATCCTTTCCATACTTGATGTTAATTCCTGGATTGATAAATTGTTGATGATCTTCGTGACATACCCAGAAATCGGTGCGGATCTTAATCCCTGATTCTTGGGTTTGAGGTGAAGAAGGTATGATCCTCATCCTATTCTCACGTGGATGTTGGTACCCTTTGAGGGTGGTTTGGATGTAGTTAAGTTACTGAGTATGGTCCGCTGTGCCATAGCCATTCTACTCCTCACAATTTCTGCCCTTGTTCATTACATGATCTACACATGGGTGAAGAGTATACTTGGCTCAGAAGTGGTGCAGTTCCCCTATTCTGTTCTTTGGATCGATATATCTCATCGTCAGGAGTATCCTTAAGATGCTTTTGGGGGGTACTTCTTTCATTCCCTTGCATCAGTCACTCCTTCTTCTTAATGTGGGATTCTAGCTAATCTTGTGAGAGGAGGTAAATACCATATTGGAAGTTATGATTTTCCTCTACTGAAAATGTATTTTCAATAGGTACTTATCTCCACTTCTGATTCAAAGTGAAGGTTCGGTAGAGGAGAATAGAGGGAGACACATGCATCACGTGAGCATGTCATGCTACTATTGGTTAAGAGATGACTCATGATGATTTGCATAAGAGACATGTTGAAATATAGTAATTCCAACAAAGGGGGGGAGCACATGACTTGTGGCATGCTAAAGGAAAAGTTTGCATATAGAAAGCAGCACTGAATGAGAATAGCTAATCCTGTGAGAGGAGGCAAGTACCTGTCAGATATACATTTTCAGTATAGAAAAATTATAATGTTGCTTTGATTTTCCCTGTGTCTCCGAACTTAAGATGGCTAATACTTTGATAGGAAAAAGCTCATCTAAGAGATAATTCAGTAATTACCTGCTATGTGAAAGCTATTTTGAGTCTTATTTTCATATATTGCTTTGTTGCAGTTGAAAAACTGCCATATTTTGCCATTCTATAACTAGAAAAAATATATCTTTACATGAGGTATATTTTGGTTCATTTTTCTAAATTTTTATGCAGGTGTTCTGCATGTAGTCAGTGACATCCCCATGACTGGTTGTAAATGTGTTCTAAAACCTCAAACATAGAGAAAGGTTACATTCCAGAATGATAGCACAGTAGGGCTAGAGCTTATATTTACTTGACCATGTTTCTTTGTCATCCTTCAGTGTGAGATGGGGTCATTTCAGCGAGTTATACTTATGCAATCCCTTGAATTTATAATAGGATTTATTATTGATGTGGGTAATCTTAATGTGTGGAATACTGCACTAAAGATTTTCCTAAATTGAAAATATGTTACAAGTATTATTCTGGTTTTTTATCCTACTGTGCAGACAAAAGATTTTCTCTCTTCCCCAGCATTCAGAAGTTGTATAATGAGTATCTGGACTAACCAGTTCAATTTTAGCAAAACACAGATCCTTATGAATCAAAATTTTGTTTCTTTGAGTTTGTTGTCCTATTTTGAATTATTCTCTGAACAACATAACTTTCTGCCAGACATTAGTGCGTGTGAAAACCACAATTGTATTTTTAACACTTATAAGAACTTTGTTGCTAATAAAAATGAATAACTTTTTAAAAAACATTTTAGAATAAAATTGTGCACAGTATTATGGATTAATGTATATATATATATACATTTCATATCTAGGATTTCAGTTTATTCGGGCTGAAGGTTTTGTATTTGGTCATGTAGCAGATGAAGGTATCATGGAAGCTTGTGCAGGACCATTGCTTCGCTACAGACGTGCGATAGGAGCTGAACACATTTTTGTTTTTACCGATATCAAGAAAAAGCACTGGTAATATAAATAAAAGCTTATATTTTTAAGGATGTAAGAAGGCTGCAGTAAACCAGTTGTAAAGCACATCCTTTTTTTATGCTCATGTAATTGTTTTTTTTCTTTTCCTTTTAAATATTTTCAGTCTTTTGTTCAGTTGTTTTATTATTTGATAGTAAACTCATGTATTAAGCCTAACAATTTTATTATAACAGTGTTTCACTTGAGATGTTTTTACCACACTCCTTTTGATTAACCTATCAGGGATTTCTAATGAAGGCCTGAGCATGAACTGTGGATTCAAAAGTACATGGTACACATCCTTTAAACACAAAAAAACATGCTTCACACTTTGAGTCTGTGAGTCCATTATAAGAGTGACAGTCAAATTTCATTATTTGATTAGAATAGCTCAAGAGTTGGGAGTTGGGTGCTTTTCACTAACTGCATTCTAGTTTGTTCAAAATTAGGCATAGTTATTGTGAATAGATCTTGGATAACAGGATGAATATCTGAAACTAACTAGACCAATTTCAAATGATAAGTGCAAGTGTAAATTACTATTTCATGTGTGTCTTTTATCTGCCAGAAGTTTCTGGTTTTGAGACTTTCTGTTCAGTAGCATAACTCATCAATTTGACTGGACCTTTGAAGCCAAAACCTTATCTGAATTGCATGCTAAACTGGAAATTCATTTGTATGGCGGTTCAGTAAGCTGACAAACTTGTAGATGTATAAATTTGTTAAATCAAATTGGATTTAAGGTGTTTGATTATCTAATTTTTCTTAATTAGATGTAGTGAGTGAGGTTTTGGAGATCAAGTGAACCAGTCACATAAGTTCTCACACAGGTTTTGGGTTGTCCATCTTCCCCTCTCGACTTGTCTTCTATGTTGTGGTTTGCAGAAGGTCTATGTGTCTATGCTTGTGTCCTGGGCTTTCTCTCGTTTGGTGATGAGGTTGTTACTGAGCTGGGGTCGTTTTGGGCTGGTTTCACGGTCATGGGGGTAGAGTGCATGCGATGGACTTTTCTCGGATTCTGGATGACACATTCCTGGATCCCTGGAATTAGGCTACCCTGTGAGTTCCTGGAGTTGAATGTTAGGTTTCCTTTTGACCCTAGAACTTGAGGTGAAGATAGTATGATCTTCATCCTACCCTTGCAAGGATATTGGTACCCAGTGAGTGAGTTTTTGGATGTTGTTGACTTATCTAAATGGTCTGTCACCCCCTAGCTATGGGACACATCCTCACTTGCCCACTTTCCATCGTGTGATTGAGTGATTCTGATTTCTGTTTAAGACCACATTGCTAAACTATCCTCTCCCACTTGGATATGCTCCCTTTAATGTTCCACCATGTCTGGTCCTCCTGATCATGTCCATGTTCATGGCAAAGATATACCTGGCTCAGATGTGGTGTGGTACCCCTCTTCAGATCATCTGATCTGTTCTTTTAATTTTGGGGATGTCCTCTGAATGCTTCTGTGGGAGATGCCTGTACTTCACTCACACCGGTCCCTCCTTCGTTTCAGTGGGATTCAAGCTAATCTTGTGAGCAGAGGGAAAGTACCTTTTGGAAGTTATAATTTGCCTAAATGAAAATGTATTTTTGATAGGTACTTCCCTCTGATCACACTTCCCACCCATCCTCCCAACAATCTTCTGGTGCTCATCTTCTGCCAAATTTCGAAGTGAAAGTTCGGTAGTGACGTGTAGAGTGAATCACATGCATCATGGGATAGTAGTGCTCTTATATTGGTATCGAGGTGATGCAAGATGATTTGCATGAGAGACATGTTGGAACTTTGGATTCCAACAGAGGGAGAATGAAGGCTTGTGGCATGCAATCCTGAAATAGTTTG